TTGGAATTAACTCAGACTCGTACCTCTCTCTCAACCAACTCCACCTTTTCTAATTGTCTTTTTCAATTTTTGGTACAGAGACTTCATTTTCTGACTATGAAAAGATTATCACCTTCAGAAAGGGTAGTGGTGAACAATGTGGTTAAAGGGGAGATAGAGTGGGAGCTTAGGCCCGGTGGCATGCTCGTTCAGAAGAGGAACATGGGGGATGCTCCTCTTCTGCTTCTATGATCAAGATAAAAGTTTCTCATGTTTCTTACTACCATGATATAGCTCTACCTGCTCATTCCACTTTTGGTAACCATTTCTCTATATTTTTCTTTGCTCCATGCCTGTCTTCGTTGAAATTTTTCCCAAGATTAGCATAATGGTTTTTGTTTTGAAAAGGGTACTTTGCATAACACTTTTCTCTTTTAGCAACATTTGATTTCCATTTTCAGTATCTGATTTAAAATGGTATGTTAAGTTGAGGAAATTTTGAGTTTTTATCATTGTTTCCATTGATAGCTTGTTGGCCTTGACATTTACACAAAGTTACTGCTCTGCCATCATGTGTCTGTGTTTCTATATTTCATCTTCTCTTATAGTTTGGTTTAAATTGAAGGGGATTTGAAAAGAGTTCTTGCACAAGAAACCGGTTTGGAGCCCAAGGGGCAGAGACTATTGTTCCAAGGGAAAGAGAAGGATGATCAAGAATGTTTGCATATGGCTGGAGTAAAAGACATGTCAAAGGTTGTGCTTTTAGAGGACCCAGCGAGCAAAGAGAGGAAGCTTGAGGAGATGAATAGAAATCAAACTGTGCTAAAAGCCTGTGAAGAGGTTACTAAGGTTAGATCAGAGGTTGACACACTCTCTGAGAAGGTTAGCATCTGCTGAAAAGAGAGAATAATTATTTTCACGTTACAGAAGTGATCACTTTTAATTGTTTTCATCCTACTGATCCAACTCTGGTAGGTTATTGCTTTGGAGGCAATTGTTGGTGCAGGAACCAAAGTCGCAGAAAACGAATTCCTTGTGTTGACAGAGTTGCTTATGGTGCAATTGCTCCAATTAGATTCAATTGAGGCTGATGGGGAAGCCAAAGTCCAGCGGCGGGTTGAGGTTAGTCATTATCCAGTTATGTTTACTTCCTGTCATGGACTTCTGTAAACTATGTTACTACTGAGACACATGCATGCTCAGTTTTTTTAGTTGCTCTAATTCTGTACCCTTTTTCTTCTGGTACAAATAATGGTGCTTGTTCCTGTCGATACATATTTGGAGGTGTTTCACATGGAAAATGAGAACCCATTTTGTATGGAAATGGATATAGTTGGTTAATTATTTCACATGTCCACCTCCCTGTACTGGATCCAACCTATTAGTAAAAAAAAGGAGTAAAAAGTAGACTATGTTGGTTGAAGTGGTGAACAAAGAGGAGGTTGTCATTGACCAATCTGGCTGCTTTCGACCATTTTTCAGCTTGAATCAAAGCAGTTTGATGTGGTTGATAGAATGATATATAATAGAAAACGTTCAATTTTGGTGCACAGGTTCATCGAGTCCAAGGACTAGTGGACAGCCTAGACAAATTGAAGGCTAGAAACTCCAATCCCTTCAGCACTGGTTGCAATGCAGTACCAGTGATTAACAAATGGGAGGCATTTGAATCTGGAGTTGGAGCCCAAGCCCCCTTACCATCCTCTACAAGAATAACTCAAGAATGGGAAGTGTTTGATTAAGCTCAACTTCACATCTATCACATGGGAATGTAATAGTATAAGCAAAGGTTGCAGCTTGATATGGGATCAAGCTCCATCCATATTTGAACGCCTTCATTTTGCTCTGGTTTTTGTAAATAGCTCTGTTGTTAAGTGCAGAGAAATGGACTTCATGTGCGGCATGGTTTTACAACAAGCATCATAGTTCAGTTTTCTTTTCCACTGTTGGAATCTGTAATCAAAATGGTAGGTGAAGCTGGAAATGTATAAAGGATCATCCTCGATTCTTCAAGGCTAATATTAATTGTTTCTCCTTAATTTTAGACCAAAAAAGAGTTATTATATATATGGGAAAAATAAAAATCAATCGTGCCGGTCAAAAAACTTCGTTCAATGCAAAATATAAAATACTAACGCACAAAAATACCTGTTACATCTAAAGAAAAGGATAGCCTTTTAGAGCAAGAAATTAGGCATGAATATGAAAAAAATTTAAAGCCAAATCATCGTTACTTCATGCTAATGTTTTCATGGCGACTCGAAATGGAGGAGAAAGTTGAGGACCCAATGCATGCTGTTACATCTGTGGGCATCCACGTCAATGAAATCTATCTTTGATATGCTAGTGGTCACAGCCGATATTGTATAGCTCAACGATTATGCTAATAGGAATATTGGTATTCAAGTTTCATAAGTTTCACAACCACCAGCTGAGCTTACTTTGCTTTGCTTGCATGGGGAGATTGTAGAATACACACAACCATCTCAGATTGATACAGACATACAGAATTAAAAGTAATATTGTCATCTTATAATGAAAATTCAAAAGAAACACTAAATAAGCACTCGTCATTCCAATGGAAGCCATTCATGTCGACTTTCTGATGTTCCAGGGCAGCAAGTCTCCCGTGAGGAGACGCATACGTCCCTTCGCTATTTGTTGCTGAAAATTTGAAGTCCATCTCAACTCTCAAACTTGTAACAAAATAAAGACTTGCAAGGAATTTCATAACTTGATAAAACTCATTTGCCTGTAACTTCACAATTCACGTTAACGCAGTAGTTTGGTTATAGATTCACACTGATAATTCTTTTATTTTATGTGAACTACTGGTATCTTTTTCCACTTGTGAACTAGAGGATGTTACTCATTTAAATAAATTTAAACTCACGTTTAATTGTATGTTACAACAGTAATGATGTTAATCAAATTAAAATTCAGCTAACAACATTATGATAATAATTGATTATATATACCACGATACAAAGTATTACTTGTGCTTAAATAAAATTAGATTTACTATATAACTTGATAATGATATTCTAATTAAATATTGAAATTATTAATTTACCGATAAATTGCAATTATACGTTATTTTATCAATAAGTAAAGCTTTTATTAGGAGTGATTAAAATTTGATTCGACTTTTAAAAAGTAATTTTTAAAATTTGGACTTACTCAATTTAAGTCGATTTTCGACTCCGAGTTGTGTTTGAATTTTACCAATTGGAAAAATTGAATTTTAAAATTAAGCCTTATTTTATTGTTCCTCTTTTATTTTAAGTGTATTTTAATCAAATTTGAACCATGCGATGATAAGCCACTTTAAAATTCCTATTAAGCTTCAATTGCTCTATTTCAAAAATATTTTCTTTTTTGCAATTTAATTTTTCGATTTGCTTGATTTTCTCATTTCTTCTATTTATCTTTCATTTTAAGTTCATTTTTTAGCCAAATTTGAACCACATGGCCCTATAAAACTATAAAATACATATAAAACTTTAATAATTTAACACTTCTTTTATATGTGCAACTTAGGCCCTTAGCTTTACATTTTATTCAATTTTCTCCTCTAACTATAATTTTTCACAAACTATTTCTTCCTATCAATTCCATGATTCATTTATACTCTTATCAACGTTAATTTTGTCCTCAATTTTTTTAAAAAAATAACATTATCAATCTTACTTACACATGTGAAAAAATATGGAGATATATATATATATATATATATATATATATATATATATAGTTAGTTAGTTAGTTTAAATTAGAATCAATTCATACCATAATATTATAAATAATTACAATTAAATTTGAACATAAACTAAAAAAAAATCGATTCAACTCGAATTTTATAAATTTGACCTGACTTGAAAAAAATTCAAATAAAGTTTGATGATGAAATATAACTAATTACTCGACTAACTTGAAATTTTTAACTCAACTCGATCAAATAGGACTCCAAGTATTAGATTTACAAAACATATATGATAATATTATTTTAATCGACCGTTAAAATCGTTATTTTATCTATCAATAAATCTTATATATATATATTAATCGATTGTTAAAATCGTTATTTTTCTCAATCATTAGATTGTATATGTCGTTTGTTCGGGATTGTTCGTTTAAATAAGTTCAAAATGATTTTAAAGCCATTATTATTTAATCACTAAAGTGCATGTCTTTCAATCGTTGTCGTTAAATGTTTCTATTTTTATCGATGATTAAAAATCACATTTCTAACTATTTTTAATATTTAAAGGAAATGTTTTGATCAAGTTACAATTAGAAACTCACCGGAAGTCGGTGGTTAAAACGCATTGTTAACCTCTGAATGATCAACGTTCAAACTCTATATCAAACTTACATTTAGTGAGAACTGAACCAGAACCTTAATATTTTTAGGGATAAACTTCAATTTATTATAACCAAACAAGCAGTAAAACTTTTATCAACTCCATTAAAACTAGACCATATCGGTTTAATTATGACATATTCTTTTATCAACTCCAGAACTTTAATGTTTGGCCAGAAAAAACCCCTAAATTATTAATGTTATTTCGTGTCATTAACAATGTAACTTCAAATATTCAAGCATATTTCATCAGCAGTTGATATGCCTTGAAATATGCATACATTCATCAGGAAGTAGAGCTAATAAGGCAGTAACGGAAACAAGGTTTAGATAAATAATTGTTTAAATTATTAGGGTTCCAAACTTGGCCTGAATTCAGTTGCGAATTTTCTGTCATTTTGTGCATTTAAATTAAAGTGACAGATATATGTTTTTTACCCTATTATGAGTATGCTTTAATTTCTATTAAATAAAAAATTGTATTATTGACCCTTCTTGGTGATAAGGATGACTGTGCTGTGAGAAGGAAAATGTGAAGTTCATGAGAATCATGGCTAGCTTCTGAAATGATACTGAATTTACAAGATTATCCAACTTATACAGTAACCTTGGACTCTTTCCGTGTGGGTAATTTTGTATTTTAGTATAAGGGCGTTTCGAACCTCGGTTTTGTTCTAAATCTATTCACCAAATGGCCAACAACGGTAGGAGCAACAATGCTCCCTATATGGTAATCTGCAGTGTTTTTGTGTATAAATACAAAGGCCGTGAAAGCCTCTTAATCACAGCAGCTTACATCTTTATAGGTTAGTTTTAGTTGAAAGTACATATCTTTTGTTAGATTTCAGTTCCTTGCTAGTAATACTTGTAACACCCTCAACCCGTACCCAACCCGGACACGAATCTGAGGTGTCACATTTGACTTTTCAAAGCTTGACTCTTATAGAAATCAGGAAAATCTAAACTTTCATTAAAATAAAAGTTGTTAATTTACACAAGTTAGACCAAAATAATACAAAATCGACCAGAACATTTGTAATTCACAAATTGTTTACATGCCAACACACTAGATACAACAAAATACATACTTTGCCAATTACATCTGATCTGATCTTTTAGTTGGGTATGTTGTCCTTGCAACTCCTAATTCTGATCTTCTTGTTTCTTGGTACCTATGTGTAAACCACTTACACGCTAAGTCACATACTTAGTGAGGCATAAAATGAACATGTAACAATGAATTCATGAACATGTACTACTATTATTCTATCATAACATTCCAATTTGCATATAATTACTAAACTATCACATATATGATCATGACATGCACAAATGGAACTTAACTTCTTATGAGAGTTTCAGTTTAATTTATCTTGGATTGCCCATGTACATTATTGATAACAGAAGGTACATGAGTACACTGAGGTTGTGCACAAATATTTTCACCACAGCTCGAATAAATTCCCACTAAGGGTACTGAAAATTTGTCCCGAATGACCACTATGTCTCGAAGGACCACTATGTCCCAAATGACAACTTATAATCCCTTGACTCTTTGCATACCAATTATACCTACAGCTCTCATATCACATAACATGGGCTTAATTATGAATACATTTCCCATTTTCATATCTCTTTTATCACTTCTCATTTAAACATATCATTCACTTCACATGCACACACATATGATCACTTTGCTTATTACTCATACCTGGATTTGTTCTCTTATAATTGCATACATTCATAGTACATTATATTAAAGCATTTAAAAGATATGCAAATACTTATTATAACCATAACATATGCATGTATATGAAAAGGAAATCATAACATCAAATATAGGAAATAGACTTAACACAAGTCTTATTTCCATTGAACTATATCTATAGTATGCACTCACCTTAGCCTCACATGATCCGAATCAAATCTATCCCTTATCTCTTTCTCGATCATTTATAATTCTTCGATTGTTCAGGAACAGAGTTACGTTCAATATCTACATAATCATTCATTGATACATGTCAGTATTCCAATTGACACACTCTAATACTACATTTCTTAAACTAAAGGAAAGACTAAATTTCATTTTCTGATTAAAGTAGTATCGGTACCCCCTATAGGGTATCGATACATCCTTAACTGAGGTATCAATACCATGCCTAGGTATCGATACCCATATTGCATTATGTATTTTTTTCGCTCAAAGATGGTATTGATACCTTCCTTAAGGTATCGGTACCCTTGGTATCAATACTGTTCTTCAGGTATCGATACTATAACACCCCAACTCGTATCCGACCCGGATCCGAGTTCACGGTGTCACATTGACTTTTCAAAACACTTTTCTTTACAATTCAGCACAATCTTAAATTCATCATTTAAGAAAATGAATACTTTACTTTAATTATAATCAATTAGGTTTACAAAACATATCAAAGCATATTCAATTCAAATCTAATAGTACATGCCAACTATATTCAAAAGAATAAAATACATATTAATTATTACTTTTCTGATCTGAACTTAGTAAGGAAAATGCTGACCTCTCTTGCTTCTCTTAGTTTCTCTTCTTGATTTCTAACCTACGTGTGAAACATTCATACGCTAAGTCGATGACTTAGTGAGGCATATAAAACTTATAATGCACTTTTTAACGTTTAACAATGCATGCATGTTTTATTCTATCATATTATACCAAATCACTTCATTCGATCATACTATATAAAATAATACCAGATTACATATCAAGAAATACATACATACACATAAATCATCATTAACAGTTTATCTTTTAATCACATACTTTTATACCTAACCTTCTTAATCAAGCACTATACACACAACATCATATCATTATAACATTTTTTCATATCACAAACATATATTTGTTATTATCTCTTTATTAGCCCATGTATACATGTGAGAACTAAAGATATGCGAGTACATTGAGGTTGTGCACATATGCTGTCACCACAGCTTGTATAAGGGCCCACTGAGTGGCATGTGAAATATATCCCGAAGAACCTATCCATATGTTCCTAAGAACATAGGTAATTGTCCATATGTCCCGAAGGACATAGGTAATACTATCCATATGTCCCGAAAGACATAGGTAACCCTCGACTCTTGGCATGCCAACTATACCTCTAGCTCTCCTGACACTTAACATGGGCATTCTCCTTTATATCGTTTCACATATTCACATAGTCATGTCTCATATGCTCATAGCTTTTATCATATCATTCACATCGCATAGCTTATCTTTTGTGATCATGAATTCATATAACTTTGAATCATATTTTTATATAACTCATATAATCCTTTCATATAGTTCATATCTTATTGTCACATATTGCATATCATATATACTATATTCACATACTTCAATATCCTTGGACTTATTTCACTTTATTACATTAAAACATAAACATGTAGTCTTATGTGTCCTATCAATACTATCTATTCATATAATCTCATTTTACCTTATAAGTAAATACTACTTATTTTATCTCACTTTTCGATTTATTCACCTAATTATTTATATCAGTTTACATGGTTTATTAAACAACTTATATCACCTTTTCATGTATTACACATATCTTGTCACATATCTTATATTTTATCATCATATCATTACATACAAGAACATATCAACACATATAATCATGCATTCACATAAATTATACTTACAATCATAAATTCATGCATTCTAACATAAGAAATAGACTTATCGCAAGTCTTATTTTCATCTATCATTTTATATACTAACTAATATGCACTCACCTGGCCTCACTAGTCAATACAGTTCCCTTATCTCTTCTCGATGACTATTACTTGTCGACTTGTCCGAACGTTGCTCTCGATCGATATCTTTTTCTATGAACCCAAGGTGGAGAGAACGAAGAAAGCTGAAGAAGAAAACTCTGGATACTTTCTCACATTTTCCACATTTTTATATTACTCAAAAAGGGAAGATAAAATCTTTCCTATAAAAAGACCATTTTACCCCTTTAATTCATCCATCTTTGTTATTATATCCAACATTAAAATTATTTACTTAAGTCCCAGAACTTTTAACTTATTTCAAAATTGAGCACAAAGTTCCTAAAATTTACATTTTAGTCACTAGCTCTGATTTTGGGATGTTACAAGTCTCTCCTCATTTTAAGAAAATTTGTCCGAGAATTTTCATTGCACATACCGATAAGAACATATCTTTTAATGTTCTCATGTTACTTTCTCTACTTTATCCCTTCGTAATTTATAATCAATGATTTGCCTTCAATTTCCAAAGAACCCAATCCATTTCTGTCTTTTCTCTCATTCGATTCTACATTTTCGTTTGACCTTTTTAAAATCCATATAATGTCACTCATCATGTAGACAGTAACATCCATTCTCATCACTCAACATCATAAATCCATCTATAATTACCTTATAGCAATAATCAAACTCTTATTCCATCATCATTTGACCAAAAACACAATCTTAAATCTTCTTTAAATGTGATTAAACATATACTTTACGGAATCAAACAATCGTTTCACATCACCTTGCACAATTTTCTTACTTTTATATCAAACTTATCATCTACACTTCCATGTAACCTTTATAATACTTAATCCTTTAAACTCCATCTTTTTATTTTTCTTATCCATTTATCCTTTATAATCAAAATCTCCTTATAACATAACGAAACCATATCTTTCGTCCATACTCTCATACTCTTTCATATCACTTATACTTATTTCCTTGCGTACATCATATCTATATGATCAGAATACACAACCAAATCCAGATCCACATCATACTTGATTAACTTAACTTATCAAATTCGCAAATCCTTTCTCGTACACCATGCAATTTCCTTTGCTCAATCTCAACATTCAACTTTCTTTGTCTTGTAAACTAATCACCGATGTACCCATTCTTAAATTCTTTCGAACAATATCTATATCATTTTCATTCAAAATAGCTGAACTACAATTCACTCAACTTATAAAACTGCACTCTTATCCATGCACATTACAACTCCCCTGTTTCAAATTCATAAACTCTGGCTTCATATATCTGATAAACTTATCACTAAATACTTATTCTCGAACTTTTCTAAACTAATAACCACATCACTGAATCTTCTATCATTCTTGTGATAACATATGTTCACTATACTTCAACTCATACATATAATAGCTAAATTATTTCATCTAACTTCTCCGCTTCAGAACAGTGGAGACCCTATAACTATATTCTAACATGTTTTCAACTTCCTGAAAATAACCTTTGTTATTTCAAAGCATTTCCTGTGGTGTCCGCTCTTCATCCTGCCTGGCCAGGGAAGGTAAATTACTACCAGCATCAGGTTAATCAGTTATCGATTCACTTTGACAATTCTTATAATCAATTTCTACTATATCATACAAATCTTATTCTATTAGCAAGACAACATACTCCTTACACTATCATATTAGAAAATTTTCACTTTGAGTTGGCATGTATACATTTTTAAAACTCATTTTACTTCGGTTTAAGCCTAGAATCATTTAAACCTTAGCTCTGATACCATTAAATGTAACACCCCAACCCATATCCGAATCGGATCCAAGTTCGAGATGTCACATTGACTTTTCAAAACAGTTTTCTTTACAATTCAGCAAAATCTTAAATTCATCATTTAAGAAAATGAATATTTTACTTTAATTATAATCAATTAGGTTTACAAAATATATCAGAGCATATTCAAATTCAAATCTAATAGTACATGCTAACTATATTCAAAAGAACAACATACATATTAATTATTACTTTTTTTATCTGAACTTTGTAAGGAAAATGTTGACATGTCTTGCTCCTCTTAGCTTCTCTTCTCGCTTTCCAACCTACTTGTGAAACATTCACACGCTAAGTCGATGACTAAGTGAGGCATATAAAACTTATAATGCACTTTCTAACATTTAACAATGCATGCATGTTTTATCAATCATATTATACCAAATCACTTCATTCGATCATACTATATAAAATCATACCATATTACATATCAAGAAATACATACATATACATAAATCATCATTAACAGTTTATCTTTTAATCACATACTTTTATACTTAACCTTCTTAATCAAGCACTATACACACAACATCATATCATTTTTATAACATTTTTTCATATCACAAACATATATTTGTTATTATCTTTTTATTAGCCCATTTACACATGTGAGAACTAAAGATATGTGAGTACATTGAGGTTGTGCACATATGCTGTCACCACAGCTCGTATAAGTCCACTGAGTGGCATGTGAAATATGTCCCGAATGACCTATCCATATGTTTCGAAAAACATAGGTAACTGTCCATATGTCCCGAATGATATAGGTAATATTGTCAATATATCCCGAAAGACATAGGTAACCATCGACTCTTGGCATGCCAACTATACCTCTAGCTCTCCTGACACTTAACATTGTCATTCTCTTTTATATCGTTTCACATATTCACATAGTCATATCTCATATGCTTATAGCTTTTATCATATCATTCACATCGCATAGCTTATCTTTTGTGATCATGAAATCACATAACTTTGAATCATATTTTCATATAACTCATATAATCCTTTCATATAGTTTATATCTTATTGTCACATATTGCATATCACATATACTATATTCACATACTTCAATATCCTTGGACTTATTTCACTTTATTACATTAAAACATAGACATGTAGTCTTATGTGCCCTATCAATACTATTTGTTCATATAATCTCATTTTACCTTATAAGTAAATACTACTTATTTTATCTCACTTTTCGATTTATTCACCTAATTATTTATATCAGTTCACATGGTTTATTAAACAACTTATATCACCTTTTCATGTTACACATATCTTGTCGTATATCTTATATCTTATCATCATATCATTACATACAAGAACAAGTCAACACATATAATCATACATTCACGCAAGTCATATCATTCACATACTTACAATCATAAATTCATGCATTCTAACATAGGAAATAGACTTATCGCAAATCTTATTTCCATCTATCATTTTATATACTAACTAATATGCACTCACCTGACCTCATTAGTCAATATCGTTATCTTTTCTCGATGACTATTACTTGTCGACTTGTCCGGACGTTGCTCTCGATCGATATCCTTTGCTATGAACCCACGGTGGAGAGGAAAAAGAAAGCTGAAGAATAAAACTTTGGATACTTTCTCATATTTTTCACTTTTTTATATTACTCAAAAAGGGAAGATAAAATCTTTCCTATGAAAAGACCATTTTACCCCTTTAATTCATCATTATTTGTTATTCAATCCAACATTAAAATTCTTTACTTAATTCCCTGAACTTTTAACTTATTTCAAAATTGAGCACAAAGTTCCCAAAATTTACATTTTATCCACTAGCTCTGATTACAGATACCCCTTGAATGTCTTCCTTATTTTTAACTCTTGAAGTATCGGTACCTGATGAATGGGTGACGATACCCCTTGCCCATAAATCACTTTTTGAGCTCAAAAATTACTTCATTTCAGCTCAAATGCTTCATATTTCATCCCCTTACATATTCTTAACTCATATACACATGCTTAACTCACTTTCTACTCATTCAATACCTTCTTAACTTAAAAATCCAATCCTCTACATAGAATTCAAGAATCATACTCAATTTTCAACATGTTCTAATTCAAATTCTAACACTTCATATTCCTTAATTCCACTAATGACAAGTCAAATTTAGTCTTGAAATCTAATTACTATATTCCTACAAAGATTTCATTTATTCCTCTCTTTTCTTTAATCTTTCCTAACTCTCTTATCTTATTGTTTTAAGATAACTTAAGCTTTGTCTAAGCTTAAGTATCACCTAATGATCAAAACCAAACTTAAATTTCAACCAATAATCAACTAATAAGAAATCTTACCTTTGCTTTGGGCCTTCACGTATGAAGAAGAGAGGAGAAGAAGAGAACTCTGAAAACTTAGATTTTTTGCTTCATTTCCTTCCACGTGGGTTAATATAACCACATCAAAATTTAATTATTTTCTTTACCAAAAGACCATTTTGTCCTTCAATTCCTCCTTCTT